AAACCATTTCATGACATATTAGACAAGCTAGGCATGAGAGATACCTTCGCACCAGTTTGAGAGGGAGTGTTAGAATATTACATTATTATCTGAGCTTTTTTGGTTTGTAATTATTCTATGCCCTCAGGGCTCGACTTGTAATTGTCTCATCTTGTAAACCCTAATCCTCATTTATAAATAGGGGATGATATTCTATCAAACCCTAAGCTGGTTACTCAAGCTTCATGTATAAAATCTGTGATTATATGAATCATGGATTTAGTGCCTTGATAGTTTTATTTCCATATTTGTAATATGAATTCATTATACCTCATTCAAAGGTAAGCCAATACAATTATTTTCACAATTATTTTGTGAGATCTTCCTTTTTTTTATATTAACTCTCCTTTGCAGGCTTCCACTCCTGCTACTTCCAGTGTTCGCCCGGTTCCTATTTTGGACGAGGTTGCGGATGAAGTTGTCCCCCTTCCTCATTCTCCACCTTCACCTCCCCCCAAAAATTGTAGGTATACTCTCGTCGCCCACACTCTCAGTTGCCCCTTGCCGCCTCTTCAAACTTTGGGTCAGCTCACTCTCCTCCTTTAGCTACATCTCCATCACCTCCTTGTCATAACCCACTTCAGGATCGACACCCTCTAGATCGATGGGATTATTTGAGTAGTACTAATCATCTCATTTCCCAATATCTTTCCTATGACAGGGTTTCCGATTCTTATCGCTCTTTCCTTGGAAGGCTTAAGTCGAAGTCCATTCCTCGTTCTGTGTCGGAGGCCCTTCAGAATCTAAAATAGGTGGAACCTATGCAGACTGAGATGGCCACCTTAGGACAAAATCACACTTAGGATCTTGTAACTTTACCTCCTAGGGAAAATTTTACTTGTTGTAAATGGGTGTTCACCATAAAGTACCTCGCTGATGGCTCAGTTGACCGTTACAAATCCCGCCTGGTAGCTAAGGGTTTGACACATATTCCTGGCAAGAATTTTAGAGCCACTTTTGCCCCCGTCGCCAAGCTTACTTTTGTGTCTCCTTATTTCCCTTGCAGTATCACATTCTTGGCCTCTTCATCAACTTGATGTCAAGAATGCATTTCTTCATAAGGATCTTCTTGAAACGATTTACATGGCTCCTCCACTCAGTTTTCGAGCTAAGGGGGACTATTCGAAGAAGGTTTGTCAGTTCCGCAAATCTTTGTATGGTCTAAAGTAGTCTCCGCGAGTATGGTTTGGTTGCTTCAGTTCTGTCATCATCTCCATGGGCTTTGTTCAATGCCACTTAGATCATACTTGTTTCATCCACCGTAATTCTACAGGTCAATGTATCATCTTGTTGGTTTATGTAGATGACATTATTCTCACAAGCGATGACTATGTCAGAATTTGGTCAAGTAAAGAAGGCCTTGGGCCAAACTTTTGATATCAAGGATCTGGGATGTCTCAAATATTTTTTGGGAATTGAGGTGGCTCGCTTAAGACAGGATTTCCTTGTCTCAAAGAAAGTAAACTCTTAACTTGCTTTAGGATACTGGTATGTCAAGCTGCTTCTACTCCTATGGATCCTAATGTCAAGCTCACATCAGAGTCTGGTAAGTTGTTGAACGACCCAGGCATATATTACTATTTTGTTGGACGCCTTATTTATTTGACCAATACTAGATCTAACTTGACATTTGTGGTTAGTGTTGTGAGTCAATTTATACATGCACCCCATACAGAGCACCTTGACGCGGTTCATCACATTTTGAGGTATTTAAAGACTTCTCCTATCTTGGGATTGTTCTTCACAATTGGTCCTCAATCTGGGCTCTCATGTTATGCAGGATCTAGGACTGATCAGCGTTCTATTTCTGGCTTCTGTACTTTCTATGGTGACCATTTTATATCATGGAAAAGTAAAAAGCAAACAGTTGTTTCTAGGCCTTCAGCAGAGTCTGAGTATCGGGCTATGGCACAAGGAACATGTGAGATTCTATGGTTTCGCTCTATTCTAGTAGAGTTGGGTCTTGAGGAGACTACTTCTTCTTTATTTGGTGACAACAAATCTACCATTATGTTATCCTCTGATTCTGTGCTTCATGACCGTACCAAGCATATCGAGGTTGATATACATTTTATTAGAGAAAAGGTTCGGACTGGTATTGTGAGACCATCCTTTGTCTCTTCTTCTCAGCAGTTAGCAGACATGTTCACAAAGTCCGTGTGACCAACTTTGCTCCTGTCATCCATTGCTAAGCTGCGTTTGTTAAATGTCTTCACGCCAACTTGACGGGGAGTATTGAATTAGGGAATTAGAATATGTTGAATTAGGAAATTAGAATATTTTGTTTATAGTAATATGTGTAAAATCTGTGATTCTATGAATCATGGATTTAGTGTCTTGATAGTTTTATTTTTTATTTTTTGATAAATAAGCAAATTTTATTAGAAAACCCTCAAGATGATGCAAAGAATACAGAATTCAAACCCTTACGGGGAAAAAATGCTAAGATATCAAATCCTTCACATAATCTACAAAAGCCAAAACATTTGGATCAACTAATCCCGTAACCCAATTATATAACACCACAAGCAACCGTCTCTCCATACAAGGAATCGAATGAGACACCCCTTAGAATACACGCATGTTACGCTCCAACCAAATAAGCCACATTAAATAGTGAGAGGCAATCATCTATGCCTTTCGATGCCTCCTCCCAACTCTAACCCCAGCCCAACTTTGCAAAACTGCCAACATAGAACCTAGCTACACCTAAACCAAACCAAAAGTCACAACAATAAGCATCCAAAGTCGAGAAGTAACTGGACAATGAACAAGCAAATAGTCCACGAATTCGGTGTCACCACAACACATGCAACACCAATTCACCAAGATATGCCCACGCCGAATTAAATTATCAATCGTCAAAATACGTCTTAAAGTAGCTATCCACACGAAGAAAGCCACCTTGGATGGTGTGCCCGACACCCAGACGCACTTCCAAAGGAACAAACCTGCATCATCCTAAGCAAGCCACCACAAAACAAAGACACAAAAAAGAACCCCTTAGAGCCCAGAAAAACCCAAACCATAGAATCCTCCCCTGCACCCCCAGATCCCAACCTGTATAAGAAACCCAAAAACTCCACCAACTGATCCACCTCCCAATCTTGAACATCTGGACATAACCGCACATTCCAAACAACCGCATGTCCCCACCCAATCTGAACCTCCCCAACCATAACCTCGCAATCTTCTACAATCCCAAAAATCAAATCAAAGGGAACAACCGCTCTAAAGGAGTATCACCACACCACATATCACGCCAAAAACGGACTCTGTCCCCCACCCCTAACTTCAGTTGAATTCTCTGCCAAAACTCCTCTCAACCCAACCAAATTCCTTTTCAAACTCCACAACCATGAGACTGCCCCACCCTACCCAAACACCACCCCCTCCCTAAACCAAACTTCGCCACAACCACCTTCCTCCATAAATGCTTCCTCTCCCCCATAAAATGCCACAACCACTTACCCAACAAAGCCAAATTACACATAACCAACTGCCTAAATCCCAAACCCCCTTTCTCCTTTGGACGACAAACTCGATCCCAAGCCACCAAATGAGAATGAGAACCCTCCCCCCCATCACCCTATAAAAAGTTCCGCTGCAACTTCTCAATCCGCTTTGCAACTGCCACCGGAATCACATGAACAAACATAAAATAAGTCGAGATACTCGACAAAACACTCTTGACTAAAGTAATCCTCCCTCCTTTAGATAAATATGAATTCATTATATATACTCAGCGAATGATTGTAGGTTATCTCTTAGGTAACAACTCCCAACTATATCATGGGCTCACTTATTATTATGGACCTATGGACCACAAAAGCTATTTCATTTATTTTGTGGCTTGCAGTTTAAGAGGTAGTTGCCTAAGCAAGAAAGATAGCTAGCCAAATGAATCACTCCCAAAGGTACTTGTTTTTGTCAAAGCCTTGGAGGCACATTGAGTTCCATGATCTTCTTTTTTTTTTTCTTTTTTTTTGTGTGCACGCGCGCGCATAAGAATTTTTGGTACTGTACCATGGAAAAATGCTGTATATAAAAAATTCCAAGAAAATGGGAGCAGAGTATAGCATGGGCAAGTGATAAGTTTAAGGGTAAAAGCTTTGAAAAAATAATGTGAATGGTGTCTTTGGTTGCTCTATTTTATCACAAAATTGTCGGATATTTGAAAACAATTACCAAAATAATGGAAGTCCAACATCACTGATTGCTCGAGATGTGAGCGAAAGATACGTTCGGCTTAAATATGTTGAAGATCCTGATTTGGCTAGGAGATTGGAATGGAATTGGAACCTTCTAGTTAGGCAGCATCAATAAAATGCATTTGGGTTAGCTTTGTTGTATTACATATTGTTTCTGGAACTATTTGCCCACGTCAAGACTGATCAATTTTTTTATTAGGGAGTATTCTCCCCAAATGTTTGTCCTCAGTGACTTCTCATTTTATAATCCTTTTTTTTTTTTTAATAATAGGATCTATCTTGTCAAAAAAAGTACATCTTGTTTTTCATATGTAAATAAAATAACAAGTAGCCTCTGTTACATGGACTCTTCAAAATAAATAAAATACCTGTGTTGGACACTCGGACAAGGGTGTGAGATATGTGTCCGATACTATACATTGGACACTTCTCATATATTTGTATTTTAACACTATCTTAAATGTGTCATTTGTTGTGTAATTGCTATAGAACACATTTTTTAAAATGTATGTTACATATAGTTCCATTTTATCACATAATAGATTAAAAATATAAAAAAATATGACTCTTTTTGGCTGAGTCCACATACCCTTAAATTTGAGATTTGATAACCCGACACCTATACCTAAGTCTAACATAGTAAGTAGCACTTTCAGCCAGCATCTGATGATTTTATAAACTAATCCTTTCGTTCTTGGCAATTATGGCAGTCAGGAAGTAGGAACAGATAATTTCACTGGTGAGCATTACCTACAAAATCCTGCTATGGATAAAGCGTCTATGCTGGACTCCGTTCCTCCAGCCACCATAACATCAGCATCTCCAAATTGAATCATCCTTGTAGCATCGCCAATAGAATGTCCCCCAGTGGCACAAGCTGTCACTGCAGCATGGTTTGGTCCCTAGACTCAAAAGTCAAGACTAGGATATGCAACAAAATCTATTGTTCCAGAAGTAAAAATGAGCAAGCCCCTCAATTACAGAAAAAATAGAAAATAATATGGATATGTAATTGAAATACAGAATAACAACAGACGACTCAAAAGCTTATCAAGGACCATTAGCACCATAGCATTAATGTGCACAACACAACGGTCAAATCATTACTCCGTAGGTTGTTTGATAACCCCATTTTTCAATAAAACATGCAACCACCAACTCATTTGAAATTATTCATAAAATGTTATAGCTTAATTTGCATCTAACTCAAATACTCGATCTCTCTGTAGCGACGTCATGATGGAGGTATAACCAATCACAATAAGTCATGATCATTGTGTTGATGGCAAGATGATGGGCATTGTATCATACCACATTTTTTCCTCACAAGCACTCATGTACTTCCCCCAAATGTAAAAAGATACAATTATGGATGTCATCTTCTCACCTGGAATCCGTATTTCATGCTCACATGACCAGCTGCCATGTTTATCAGTATCCGTGGGATAAAAAATGGACTAAGCCGACGAAGGCGCTGGATTGAAAAAAACATGCATCAGTTATCAGGCTTCATTGTTTCTAGCCTCACCAGGTCATATTCAGCCATTAGTGAGATATTTCATCGAGCGGAAAAAGGTAGAACAAACAAACCTTCTCACAAATCAATTGTGATGCATCCAATATATCACTGATGCTTCCGATTCCACCACCAATAGAGACTCCCTAAGGGTCTTCAAGTTAGAAAATAAGAATCACCAAAGCACTGCAAAAAAACTTCTTCACCTAATTGTGTACAAAAACATAAATGATTACTGTGTTTTCCTTCTCCTCCTGCTCAGTAGGAATCCAATTTGCATCTCTAAGAGCTTCATCAGTTGCACATAATGCATAGCCTATAAACCTTGCAACTGACCTATGCTCCTGCAAAAGAAACTTATTCTGTAATCAATGGCCACAATATCATGGTAGGGCAAAAGAAAGTCCGGCATGCGTTGGCAGACAGTGTGACAATTCAAGTTTTCAAAGAAAATAAAACATGCCTTCACCCAAAATAAAAAAATATAAATATAAATAAAGTCACCTATCCGTATACAGCAAACTTTAAAACCATTATGCAGAGACTTCAAGTAAAATCAAACTAATAATGGATGCCACCTACCAACGTAAAACAAGAGAGAGAGACAGAGAAGAAAATAATCATTGTTAAGAATCTAACCCACTGTAGGGCTATAATAACCAAGTTACCGAATCTAGGGTCACGATCACCACACAGTTAGAGGCTCACTTGTGATATAAATGAGCTGAGCTTGATCATATTTTGTAGTTCATTACTCCCCCGTACTTCATCGCAAAAAGTTAATGAGCATCCAATGACAATAATAATTATTAGAAAAGAAGCTATACAAGCTCAGATCAAAATCAGCCCAAGTAGAAGCTCATTTGAGATCGTTTGCAAGATCAACTAAGTCAAGCTGAAGCTTCATTTTGAGCTGTTGGATGACATTTCAAGCAAGCTTAAGTGACCCACTAATTGGCTTGCCTCGATTGCTTACAGTCATACCACCAACCACTTCTCCACTAGAGGAAGCTCTTTCAACTATCAAAATGTTCAAATTTGTTTCACATCCCAAATAAGTGAAAAATCTATAAATTGCAGGTTTTGTGATATTATCAATCAGTTGTTTGCCACACTTTACAAGCGCAAACTGAGAGTATGGATATGGTTAGGATAAAAATCAGATAAATTGTTTAAGAGCTTATCTATGCAGTTGTAAAGCATTGTGAATTAATCTAAAAAGCATGGAAACATTGCCATATTCAAATTCCGGTTAAAGTTTGCCCCAATGTCCAAATTTAGCAAACATTTTCAGATAAGAAACGAAACATCACTTTTCAAATACAAATTGCAGCGCATCAATTAGAACAATACAATGGAGAAGAAATGACCTTGGAATTGAGCCATATGTCCTCATTGAAATCGCCCGGATTGGTTCCACAAGGAACGATCGCAGCAACTTTCGATGTCAACTGATCAAAAGTATGCAACTGCGTCTCTCTATCAAATCCACTCATCTTGAGATCTTCAGGAGTTATTGCCCTTACTCCACACACCCCCTCTATCAGTCGCTTCCATGTAGTTTCCACTCCACAACCAAGTGGCGTAACCATGCCCAATCCTGCAACACGGCTCCAACCATTAAAATTGATTACAAAGCAAAAAGTAAACAACGTGAGTGCACCATAGATGCAACTTGTTACGCATTTTCTGCTATATGTTACACATTTTGGCAAATATTCCATAGTCTTCTAATAGAGTTAAGACAATTTGTGATTCATAAATGGTAGTCTTCTAGCAGAGTTATGACAATTTGTGGGTCAAAAATGGAAGGTGAATAATATTACCACAAAAATTGTGATTACAATAATTTGTTGTTTAGAAATGTTTCGAGAAAAAATGCATAAAATTACCACAAGAATGCATAACTTTATTTCTGAACCACAAATTGTCATAAATCTACCAGAATATTACACGCAAGAGCATCTCCAATCCTTCACCAATATTTTCATGATTCCAAATTTGAGTAAAAAGCTTGATTTAATATGAACTACTCCAATCTTTTCATCAATTTTTTTTTTTTTTTTTAAATCCCCTCTATCCTCAAATTCTGCTTTTCATCAAATTTGATGGGAAAAAATCATAACCCTTCATCAATTTTTTCATCAAACTTTAATTCCAAATTGTAGTAAAAAGTTTGATTTGATATGGACTACTCCAATCCTTTCATCAAAATCCTTTTTAAAAATTCCCCTCTTATACCAAATTTCCCTTCTCATCAAATTTATTGGGGGAAAAAATATGTCCAATGCTTGTCTTTTTAAATTTGATGAAGGATTTGATAAGTTCTCAATTTGATGGGGGGGAAAAAAAGTACTCTCCCTCGATTTGATGAACATTTGATGAAAATATTTGGACATGATATTTTAGCAATTTTTCATCAAATTTAAATTTGATGAAAGAAAATGTGAAGGATTGGAGATGGTCTAATGCTTTATCTTTTTAAATTTCCATCTAATTCAAATTTAATGAAAGATTTGATGAGTTAATGACCATTTGGTATAAGGGTTCGAGATAAGTTTTTAGCAATTTCTAAATTTGATGAAAGAAAAAGGTGAAGAATTGAAGATGCTCTAACATTTGCTACAAAAATGTGACAGATATCCAAACGGCGCAACTCAAATTGAAATTGAAGCTTGGAGAAAGTAAATTGAATACATGTTAAGATAAACACATTCGTATATACGCATATATATATATATATAGAGAGAGAGAGAGAGAGAAGAATACTACCAGTGACGACGACTCTGCGAGGAGGAACAGAGGGAGGGGGGTCGAAGGCTTCAAATGTTGAAGAAGAAGAAGAAGAAGAAATGAATCGGTTGAATTGGAAACGAGAGGGGAATAGTAGTCTAGACAAACAGTGCTTCGCCATGGCTTTTTCTGGAACCCTAACAATGGATAGATAGATAAAGCATGATAAGCACTTTCAAGTTCACCTCATCGGCCGTCGATGTGTCAGTGCGATGGAGTCAAGTACGGAGTGTACACCACGCAGAGTGGCTTTGCTGAGGCTCGCGGAAAACAGTTATTTTAATAATTTTTTAACTTTTTTACTTTCTCGTCTCAAAATAATAATCTTTTACAAAATTTAACTTTTTATTATTACATTTTAAAAAAATTGACTATTCAAAATTTTCTTTTGATTGTATTTGATAGTATATTTTTTAAAAAATATTAATTATCATAATTATATTTTTTATGTTATTAATAAATTTAAAAGAATAACAAAATATGAAATTTATATTATTTTTATACTTATTTTTTAAAAATAAACTAATATTTTGGGGCAGAAGAAGTATAAAAATATATATGGCTTTGCTTGAATCAGAGTCCAGATCCCTCCTAGATGCCTCTCTTTCATTTCTTATTAGCAAGGGTTGTGATCAGTCGTTGCAGATCCAATGGTTATAAAAAAAATAAAATAAAAACAAATTCAATTCGTTTTCCTGCCCAAACCATAATACAGCTTATATAGCTTTTTTACACTCACTCACTCTCACTTAGCCCCCCTTCTCCTCCACTCCTCCATCGAACCCACTCTCACCGACGACCGACTCCTGACGACAACGAGAAGCTCTGATTCAAGCAAGCTTATACAGAGTAGATACACCTTCACCGACGACCCACCCTCATCAGCGACCCATTCCTAACGACGGCAAGAAGGTCGGACGACGCATTTCCTTCTTTCTCCTTACATAGACAAGCTCGCTCTCTCTCTCACTGTCTCTCTCTCTCTCTATCTCTCCTCTCTGTATTTCCTGGTTGTGTTTTTGTTGTTGAATAGTATAAGAGTCTTCATTGTGTTTTTGTCTGATTCAAGTAATTCTAATTCAGTTGAAGTCTCTTTTTTTTTCTTTTTTTTTATATAAAAAAAAGTTGGATTTTTAATAAAGGATGAGGATTTTTGGTGGCATAAATCATGGGAAAATTAGTTTGCTACTGTGTTTTTTAATTTTTTTTTTTTCGTTTTAGGCTATTGACAGGCACAAAGAGGCGAAACGCACTGGAACTTTCAGTCATAGCAGCTCATAAACGAAGGTTTCTTTCTTAATGTTGCTGAAAAAGTTGCTAAAATTGGGCTGGAATGTTTGGTCAAACTGTTGTTGTTCATGTTGTTGTTCATCATGTTGAAAATTGTTGCTGAAAATTATTCATCATACTGAAATTGGGCTAGAATGTGTGTTTTATTAATGTTGTTGATGTAACTTATAAAATTGGTGTTAGAACTCATAGATTGGTGTTCATAGTTGTTAATTTGTAATTTGTATTTATAGTTTTATACTTTTATCTGAGTAGGAATATTTGGATACATTTGAAATCATATTTCGTGTTTGTGCTAATATGGGGATTACCTATACTTTTATGATGTAGAAATTAGTTTCAGCTGAATTCATTACTTGAACTGAATGTGGGTGAAAGTTTAGTTGGAGAATTGGAAAAGTTTCAAGGTTATCAGATTTTTTGGTGCAATTCAAATGCTTTTGTTGTATAGACAGATCACTACTTGTTCTACAAATAGAGATCTGGTGCAATATTTTCATACAAAATGGTAGTAAATTTGTGTTCTATTGCTACATCTGTTGTCCTCATATAAGTTTGTTTTTCAAAAAAACAAATAAAAAAATTGAAGAAAAAACAAAAATAGAGAATTAGATTTTTCCAAAGGTGCCGTGCCACATGTAGCTTGGCTTTTCATGCTCCTTTTAGATACGATAGCCCTACAGTTCGGACTCCCGTGGTTCTGAATCTGATCTTACAAGTGCAACGTAAAATAGATAAACACAAAAGAGTCCAAATCCAATAAATCTTTTGAAAATGAATTTTAAATCAAAATGCCAAAAATGGACTACTTTTTAGATATAGAGTCACCACCTAAATATTTTTGGGAAATTTAAGAAACCCGAGACTTGCGCCAAAGGCCACGTGTCCGTCATCACCAAGATTGTCTCGACTCGAGAACTTAGATACAAGAGGGGAAGGTCATGAATTGAGCACATCATTCGCCCGATCAAAGATCGGTCTCGACTAATCATGATGTGATTCTTATTTACATTATATGCTCTTGTTCTAATTATTAGACTAACTTTACTATGCGCATACAAGTATAGACTAATTTGCAAAAATTAGAACATTTTGATTTCATGTATGTTTTTGCAAATTGTTTCGAATATGTACCGCTTGAAAAAGTGATCTCATATGCACATTACTTAAATTATCCCAATCCAAGCAGTTAGCCTCCATCCACAGGCATTCAAATAAGTATAACACTTAAGTAATTAGCCTCATGGCACGCATGATAGACATGACAATAATCACACTTATGCAATATACTAAAGCAATAAAATACTCACTTAATACTCCGAGGCGAGCCAAAACAAGCAAAATAAATATGCATGTCCCTAATTAATGCAATATGACTAATGCAACACATACAAAATACAATTAATAGGCTCGGCTACTAATACACCATGTGAATCAATTTGATAGCATGCGCTTTAAACATGTATTTAACGAAGTAATAAACGACAATGCTTGTTAGAATGATGAATCGAGCCTTGATTCATGCAAGACAAATGGATGCAAACACAGGAAATGCTAAATGAAATATGATATTCTAAACTACTCATTATAAGCAAGTAAATAAAAGGAAGAAAGATATGGAGTTGGAAGACATACACGCATTATTACATATTTGCCCTCGCGTAGAAGTGTCCGAATGAATGAATTAGCTAAGCTACTTAACTAATCTATTACAACCCAAATGAAATAAATTAATTATGCTAGCTAATTATTACAACACCATAAATTAACTAACTACTTTAGCTAATTAATTAAGTACAACACAAAACTAACTAACTATTCTAATTAAACTAACTAATTAGTTACAAGTCCGTTACTTTAAGTACAACATACTACTATTACAACATTATTTTAACAGATCCTGACAATCAAGGGATGGCTCATGCATGGACGTGGATTTCCACCCGAAAATGCTCTCCGTTTTGCTACTAAAATGCTTCTGTTGCACAGTCAAGAGATTGCATTGATTTTTCACCTCAATTTCTGCTCTGTTCTACAGGAAACAGTACACTACCTTGTTGGAAAAAGTGGTCGGCAGGCCAGAAGTAGTGACCTGTCGCCTAGTAAAGGTGGCCTGCTGGCCACTAATATTGGATTTCTTATTCTGCAATAGAAAATAAACAGAGCACAAACAGAGTATTCTCAGGGGATGTTTGTCCACCTTGCCTCTGTTTATCATCAAATAGCTCAAATAAGGGGTAGGCTTGATTCGCAAGCCATCAATCGACGCAATTTCATTATGTGATGACTTATGAACCAAGAGATACAATTTCAATAATTGGTAAGGAAAGACCAACAAAACCTCCTCCCTATGGATTGATCAATGGAAGGGGTTGACATTGACTCTTGAATCGTTTTCATCACTGACAAATATGAAACGCCTCGAGATTCAATTGGGTTGACATTGACTCTTTGAACCTTGTTTCATTTTAACCCCAATTTTATTACTTCATTTTAATTACCTTCAATTCATTAGTCAATTAAGTCCAATAACGAGCTTTAAGTCCACTATTAGAGAGAAGTGTCAAACCAAGTGTTGTTTTAAGCATGAGGGGGAGATCATGTTGTTGGTAATGAACCCCTAAAGGGATTAAATCGTTAAGCACAATATCACCCTTCAAGCTTAAACAATACTCCTTTTGAAGCAACTCTCAAAACAAAGAGAAAAGGCCAAGAAATTAGGGAGGTTGCAGAGATGCTTAGAGGTGAACACAAGTATGGAAAGTACGAAATAAATGCTATCAACTCAAATAGATTGGTGGCTAAGGCTAAAACCACCAAGCCTATGAGGACCATTACACTACACGCATGCAATACAAAGCAAAAATAAAACTAATACATGAAAACAGTCATAAATTAGTTAAAAAAAGTGTTGGAATTAAAGTAAAAATAGTTAAAAGAGTAAGCTAAAAACATAGAGCAATTAAGCTAATAAACAATCACAAGGAGGGGAGGCTACCTGTCACGACCCAAACCCGGCCCCATGGGTTTAGCACCGTAACCGGTCAGTAATCCGAGATTACCGAAGACCTGCTTAACAGTAAGACAGTAAAACAGAGTACAGGGCCTGGCGGAAGCCAATACAGTAAGTAAACAGTGTCCAATGAGCTGTGACAGTCTGTATGCAAAAAGACTTTTCACATATATATATATAACCAGTATAGGACAGTATGCACATTATTTACAATCATTCAGACTAGGGACTCCATCCCTTACAGTAGAACAGTAAACATTCAGTCTATACAATCCATTCGGTTAGTACAAAACAGTAAGACAGTACAGAAGGGGGAGTCCTAAAACACCCCTAAGCCTTAGCATGATAGGCTTGGAACCTCGCAGTGAGGCACGGTAGTTGGCTGGACAAAACTGGAGTAACCCTGACGCTCCTAGCCGCGGTCTGGTGCCTGTACACCTACATATATATATGAGCAGTGAGCTAAAGCCCAGTGAATAACATAATGCGTAAAGAGGTTAAGAATGAATGTCCTTACAGAATGAAAACAGTTCATTTAAACAGTATTTCAGTCAGTACAGTCATATGTGGTACACCCATTAGCATAATAGTACAGTAAGCAGTAGGTCTTAAGAGACCGAGCAGTAATGATGGCCATCAGTTTAGTAACAGTAGTGGTTCCAATAAGGGAACCGACAGAGATCTCTTGTAACAGTAACAGTAAGCAGTAAACAGTAGGTGTAAGGATGCCACAATACAGTTCAGAAATATAGGACATACATTCATTCAATTAACAGTATTCAATTCAGAAACAGTACAGTTCAGTTGTTCAGAAAATAATCATTTTTGAACATATCTTTACACAATCGTTACTCACAGAGTTCTGGGCTACAGTAAGCTAGAGCGTGTCTCCCCAGTCGCCAACCCTACACAGTTAACAGATTGAACACACAGCTACACAGCTGGGAAAGATAATAA